TTTAACATGCAAAGTGTCACACCACATGTAAAATAATTATCTTCTTTAATTAACCGGAATGAAAGTGATTGAACATATCTGTGGGCTAATATTTAATAGTAAAACTCACTATCGAATTTACTAATCTTATTTATCAAACAAAAGTGTACACTCTTTCATCTAAAATGAAATCATCCTTCTTTTATAAGTAACCTCTTAAATTAATAAATAAACACTAAAAGATGACATTAATAATCATATTTATTAAGTGAATACTTAATCTTAGTTTAAGATATTGGGTCTACAGTCAATGACAATATTAAAGCACCAAAATATACGTTCATCAACATACCCATTCGACATTCGTTATTATATTTGAAGATAATCACTACTTAACTTTGAAACTTTAAATTAATCCGTAAGGATTTAAAAAATAATATTAATCTTTGACATTCTTAATCCCATCAAGTGAGATTTATAACATATTTTTTATATTACAAAGACGATAAAAACTTAATCTTATTATATGATGTCTTAGACATAATATTTTCTCAAAATAAAAAATATTTATATTAAGACCTTGAAGATATTTTTTCTTATAGTGAGTGCCTAATGGCTAATAGTCTGTAATGGCAACGGGACAGGGCGGGGCGGGCTTGCCCATTCTCCGTCCCTATCACCATTATCTAACCCCATTCATTGTCCTTGTCCTTGTCCTTGCCCCCGCCGCTAACTACTAAGTGCTATAGAATGAAAAATTAGTAGCATATTTTCAACGTTAATAAACTCTTATTAAGGCCTAATAAACCAAATTAAACATAGTAATTAATTATGTGCACCCGATTCTTGGTATAAGGAGAGAAATGAAAAGCAATTTCAATGTGCACTAGCTCAAAATTTTGCTTTTCCTGGGCATCTTTTACAATGCCTTTATTCCAAAAGAAACAGAACACGTTCAATGAAGTTTTTTTTTTTTTTTTTTTTTGAAGCTCCTTGTTTAATTCTTTTAATAAAAAGATTGCTGCTTCTAACTTTTTTTCTCTAATAATTGTCAAAAAAAATATCTTTCTTCGTGGATAAAAGAAACAAGAATATGTCCTTTCTTAATGCCTTTATTGTTTGTAACGTTGTGCAATGAATTTAGACTTCATTGCCAATCGATCTCAATCATATTTTTATGTGTTTTTGGATTATTATTACTACTTGAAGCCAAATTGTTCTTGTCCCTTTTGAATCCAACTCGCATACTTTTGTTTTATAGATACCTTCCAATATATATACAGAAAAATCATTTCTTCAAAATAATAACAAATATTTTTTTACGTTTCACTTCTTATACATTAAACTTAATTATATTACATTTATTTAATTTGAAATAATACGAAAAAAACTACATCTGAATGATCGAATGGTTCGATAGAGACTCTTAGGTATATTATTTAAAAAATCCTAAGTTTCAAATTCCTCTTCGATTGTTAATAGAGTCACTAAAGCTTTTATCCGATCGATAGTTTTAAGGTCTCAAAATATTAGTTGAGATACGCATAAACTGACCTAGACACTCCGGTTATAAAAAAAAAGAAATATATATATGAAAAAGAAATTTTGTAAAACCTTGGAAATGATTATCAAATTTTTAGAAAAATTATAGTGTATATCAATCCTAAAATTTAATAAACATTTATAAAATATCTTCCCAACTAAAAGGTGAAGAAATGATGGGATTCACATGTTAAATATGATACTATAAAGTTCATTGAACTCAAAAAAAAAAATAATAATAAAAAAAAAATCGTTTTTTAGTATTATATTCTCCCACTTCTATGAATAATAACTTTATTTTTTTGTAATTATTGTAAAAAGAATTACTTCGCATACAAGTAAACGTGGCATTGGATAACTTGTACGGTACAAGCCAGTTGTGAATAGGAATAGGGTCCACGAGAAAAGAAAAGAATAGTCAAATTTAATAAAGATTAGCATTGCAGCCAGGTTGACCACACGTGCAAGTAAAGAATTTTTAAAGTACAAATCAACTCAACTAAAAACTAAAACTAAAACTAATTAATTTGATCAGCGGTCAATGCATATCTTCAAGTTTGAATACTTTCCCTTCTTCACTGATTTTATTTTGGGCATCTGGAATTATCCGCAAAGTACAATCTGAAATTTAGTACTTATCTTCTAGTTTCACCCAATCTCTATTTGACACATTACGAGCTTTTTCCACCGTTGATTTTTTGAGGTGATCAAATGATAAGGATCCTCTTTCGCCTTCACCCCATTTGCCTTCTCTCGAATTTCATTTACTTTACAGGTTTTTATTAATAGCAGAGTCATCGGCTATTAATGGTCCTGTAGTCTCATCAACAATCAGTTGATTATTCATCAATGACCAGAGACCACAACATTTTTATTAACAACGATTGATAATATGATATGATGATTAATGCATACTAGCTTTTTGTCAAATTATTTACAATTGCGTGCACATATATGAAGGACATCTTCTTAGTTATCCATATTCAGGTAAGATTTTTTAACTTTCTAGTTATGTAAGGTTATTTACTTATGATAAGAGGTGTTTGGTTAGCTTTTACGTGCTACGATTAATCTCTTGATCAGAGTAAAAGTTTCAGTATTATTTATTAGGAATCATTGATCGGGTAAAAAATTTAATGATTATTCCTGTTAGTTATGTAAGTTCATGAAGACTTGAAGGTCCTTAAATTAAGATATAGGCAAGAGAACATGAGTTAATATTATCACAATATTTTGGTCTTACTTTTGATTAGGCCTGTAAACGAACCGAACATGAATGAACACACTCGTTCGAAACTCGTTCGATAAGCACCAAGAGGTGCTTGAAATCATGTTCGAACTCGAACGAACACAGAATGGTTGTTCGTGTTTGTTTGATTAGTAAAACAATTTGTTCATGATCGTTCAATTAACTCGTAAATACCTATTCGAATAACTCGTAAATATATGTTCGGATAAAAAAATATATACCAACTTTCCAATTCATGCTCTAAAAAACAAATATACACACATTTAACTTAACATTTGAAGAAAATGTAACTCGAGCTAAAGATAGCTAAAACTGATTTTTTCTGTATTTAATGAATAAATGTACAAAAACAGAGCAATCTGTTCTTTTCTAGACAAATACAAAACTCACCCTTTAACCACTACTTTTAGATTTTACAAAATTATAGGATATATATTATCATTACATAAATTATTATAAATATTTTAAATGTCTAAATATATATTTTGCATCAACACTCATAAATTCATAGTAGAATGAGTGTCTATTGTAATATATGATTAATATATATGTGTGATTAATTTGTTATATATATATATATAATGAAATTATGTATATACAAAATTATTATCATATTAAATATGTTTAATATATTATTAAATTATCAAAATTATAGGTAATCATATATATATATATATATATTATCATTACTGTCTACATATAAATTTTGTATAAATACTTATAAATTCATAGTGGTATGAGGGTTTATTGTAATACATGATCAATACATACGTGTGATTAATTTGTTATATATATTATTTGTAATTGTGTATATACAAAATTATTAACATACGTATATTAATCATAGATTAAATATGTTTAATGTGTTATTAAATTATCAAAATGATAGGTTATCATATATATATTATCATTACTGTCTACATATATATTTTGTATCAACATCCATAAATTCATAGTGGTATAAGGATCTATTGTAATAAATGATCAATACAAATGTGTGATTAATTTAGGTTTAATTAAACTATTATGTTATTAAATTTGTTATGCTATATATCACTTGATTATACCATATGTTATATTTATAAATTTGTCATATATTTAATTAAGCTATTATATTATTAAAATTGTCATGCTATTATATTATTAAAATTGTCATGTTATATATCATTTGGTCATACAATATGTTATATTCATCAATTTACCCTACTATATTTAATTAAGCTATTATATTATTAAATTTGTCATGTTATACATCACTTGATTATATAATATATTATGTTAATCAATTTACTATACTATATTTACTATTTATTAATTGAAATGTTATCTCATAATATTTAATTATTGGTTACATTTGGAAAAATATGAAGCTATTATGTTATTAGGTTTACTATATTATATATCACTTGATTATACAATCTATTATGTTATTAAATTTGCCATGCTATGTATCATAATAATTTATTAATTTTTAATTAAAACTCTATATAGTTATATATTTAATTATTGATGACATTTGAAAAAAAAAAAATCTAAACATATTATATATATATAAGAAAAACAAAAACATCATAATATTTTATTGTTGATTACCATTAAAAAAAAATTCACCAAAACTAAACCAAATATAATATAAAAAAGAAAAAATATAAATATAAATAATAATGTATACCATGTTTTTCGAACATAAACAAACGAATAATCAAACGGATAAATCAGTAAGTCGAACATATTATGTTCGCGAACATAATCGAACGAACATCCTATGTTCGAACTCGAATCAAACATATTATCAAACAAATATCAAACTGTTCACGAATAGTTTCTTATTGAATCGAGTTAAACAATTATCAAACGAACATTAAACTATTCGCGAACCACTCGATTCGTTTACAACCCACTTTTAATTATAAATACTCTTTAAAACTCTAGCTATGACTTCCAATTGAATTATAATCTAATTGACTGATATTATTTATCATAAAGTTATCATCTTTGAATTTATATTAGGAAATATAAAATTTAAGTGTCATTCCCTAATATCTTTTATGGACACTAGTTAATAGTTTCCACCTTCATAATATATTGAAGGAAAAAAAAAAAAGAGTTTTGATTTGAGAATTGTCACATGATCAACATTTCATTCAGGCACAACCATTTGAACCATAGCCACTATCAACTTCAATACTAAAATATAAAGTTGAACAAACATAAACACATGTTCAACATGTCGAGAATAATCGAAAAATATTGGATTAAATTTTCATACATGAAATGTGTGGAATCCCACAAACCACATAATTTGAAAGTTACATGCTAATAAATCTGAGATTGAAATTAAATTAATTGTACAATGATTTTGTGCTTGTCTATGTTGAATCTACTGACCTAACCAGCAAAAAAGGGGGCAACTCAATATTGCCGATTTGGTGCTGCAACGCAACCCCATTCCCCCTCAAACTTCACCTTAATTCCCTGGAATATCTATAGCCAAAATATCAATTAGCCCAAAGAATCCCATATATACATATTTACCCCTCCCATATTTTCAACCCGACCGGCTCTTTATCATACAATCAAATACGTATAATTACCATCACCATCCACAAATTATACGTATTAAATAAATTTCGAGTGTTTTTATACTTGGTAACGGTAAACATTCCAACACTCGACTGAGTTTTTATTTGTCTTCGTATTTTCACTGTCTAAAGCCGAATGCCCCTTGCTGAATCGGGTATCTGAATCCATATGGGTCAACCGAGTTAGAGAAGTTTTGACTCAAAACGCCCGAGTTTTGCGGATAAAACCCTGAGTTATCAACTCGATGATTTCTTTGTCCACTTTGAACCTCGTCATCCATCACGTTACCGGTCTTTCCAGACTCCACATGGCAAAGCTGGGGCATTGAAGGGACAAACACGTCATTATTTGCATAATTCACCATCCCCTGACTCTGAGTTTGCCCACTCGACAAGAGTTCAGGCACCGGGTTGAGTCCCGCAAGACTCGCCCAGTCGAAATTCCCTGAACCCAGATTGTTCAAGTTTATCTTCTCATCAGGCTGTAACATTTTCAATGAATTCATCCGTGGTAAAGCAAAAAACCTATCATCAATCTCCGGTAAAGACTCCAACACGTCATCGAGGTGTGACGATGAAGACGAACATGAACCATTACTGTGTTCTTTGCTTGAAACACTTGTTGTTGAAAGTGGCTTCTGAGCACTCGAATTCTTCTTATATATTCTGCAGAGAACCCAATCATCGAGCTGCAACAAAGAACATATTAATGTCAACCACTAATTGCTTTTAACAGCTTAATTAATTAAGCTAGTTTCCTGTGTAGAAAAGCAGATGTATATTTGTACCTTTGTGCTTCCATTTTTACGAGAAGATTCGTTGAGGCGATACTCATGCATGATCCAATTCGTTTTGGTGCCTTTTGGAGCTTTGCCAACGTAAAAGACTAGAGCTTTCTTGATACCAACTTTACGACCTTCAGTTGTGATAATTTTATCAGTTCCTGTGGCTTTCCAGTACCCGGAACCGGCAACTCTGTTGGGTCTTGACCCGTTTGGATATTTCCGGTCTCTAGGACTGAAAAAATACCATTCTTTTTCACCAAATATTGCCTTACCTGAAATAACAACAAAAATATAAGAAACTGTTTCTTTCAAAATGAAGCTAAAATTTCACAAAATTAAGCTCTGAGTTCGATTTCTTACTTGGTAAAACCCATGGATCAAACTTGTACAAATCAATTTCACCAATAATTTGCAGAGAAAAATTATGCCCCGCAACTTTGCGACAGAGATACTGAACAAGAAGCTCCTCATCAGTCGGGTAAAACCTAAAACCCGGCGGTAAGTTCAATTGAGAAAGCGGGTCTGTCTCTGGTACACCCATTCTTTTTCGGCCAACAGAGTTCTGGAAAATACAGGAAGAAGCTAAGACAGAGAGGGAGGGAGAGACGAAATGAATTAATTTTCTTTTCTTTTTCTCTTTTTTTTTTTTTTATTAATTCCGATTTATGGTCTTATATATAGAGGAAATTTTATTAACCGAGATAAGTACGGTCGTCCTTGTCTTACTGTTACATGATGGACCCCATCTTAGTTTATCACCGTTTAAAATAAGACACGTGGTCACATCGAGCGGCCGACCTTATCCAAGTGTAATACTCACTTTGGTGCATGAACCATCAAGAAAGACAAAAATGAGTCACCTCGGTGGATCGGACACGTGTCGTTTCATAACAAAGTTTTCTAGAATCTTTAAGAAAAGGTTTTAACAATTTGAGAAAATTAAAAAAGAAATGATTAGCGTTTTTCACGCGTGGGTTAAGCCACGTCGGCAACAAATGTCTGACACGTGCTGTCACGTGAACACGTGTCCTGGAGTTAGGCTGGAATTTTGTCAAAAGACAGCGGGTGATAAGGAAATAAAGAAAAAAGTCATGTAACGGTGGCGTATTTTACTAACACGCTAGCATATGCTTTCTTCTTCCTCTTTTTTTTTTTTTAATCTTATTTTTCTTTTTCGGATGATCTGGAATTAGGGTTTCTTCCACTCAAAAACCTCTCTATGAACGAGCTACCTGACAAGTTTACTTCTATGCACAGTCCAGAAAATTCTATGATTAGTAAATAATTATTGATATTTAATAACTTAATTATATTATTAGTACCTTAATGGTGGTAAAACTGATGATGGGTTAGTCAAAGGAGGAGAAGATAAATCGATAAACTAATATTTTTTTTTTAGAATTTAGTGAACGTGGAGGCTTGCTGTAAAACAGAGGGACAGGTGTCGTTCATTTAGGGTGCTATTAATTTGATGAAGGGATGGTTGAATTGTTTGGTAGGTCAAAAGGGCACGTAGATGTGTATTTGTCTCATGTATTATGTGACATCTGGCCTTTTTTTCTTAATTCTAAAGATTAGGTTTGAGGATTATTAATTAATATACTTTTATACAAGTCTCATTGTCAAATTGACAGCTTGAAATTTCATGTACATATATAGGAAAATATTGGGGGCGGCGTGTAATGTATAACGTATAAATACGTATAAATTGTCATGCTTCTATTTGAAGTATAAAAGGGAGAAGATTTGTTTTATGACACGTGCATATAAAAGTGAAATTGAGATGGCAGTACGGCAGCCACTTGAATTTTTGTAAAAAATTCACAACCTGTCAAATAGTTTGGAGATTCATTTTACCTACCTTTTGTTGCAGCTGGCATTTGAATTCTTCATCTCCATCTTCAAACTCTTACACGTAGAAGCCCTAATTTGTCATAAAGAAACTCGACTTTGTTGCAGTGACAAAGATTGCTAGCCAATGAGATGAAACCGTTTGGAGAAATGATGGATACCCAATTGAAAAAGAACACATGGATCATGTTATCCGATTAGAATATTATAAATAACTTGAATTTTAGTCGATCAGCATGCTCAAATCAGTGACGCATGGACATGTATTTTAGGATTTTAGAATATTTATATTATTACCAAAAGAAGAAGGCTATATACTTTATTAGGATATATTACTATTAAGTTATACGATCTTATACTTTCTATTTTGATAACATTCAGTTTATATTATGATTGGATTTACATCATGGATAATATCATTATTTGCATTATTTATTTCTATCTTTTTGGAGGTGGGCAATAATTCAGAGTGGCCTTTTCATGCCAAACAAATTTCCAAGAATAATATGGGTGAGTGCACCATATTTTTCTTGGCCTCAAGCTTTTTTAGATTCTCCCTTTAAATCACTGTTTCAATAAGTTCTTTTTTTTTTGTGATCGAGACATGTTGCCAAAGTTTATAAGCATCAACTAAATATATTAATTGAAAAAGAAAGCCTAATATTTTCTGAAATAAACAAATATTATTTAAAACAATCTTACTTCAATTTTACTGTGAAGAAAGTCAAATACAAGAAACTCATCATCGACTTACTTCATTTTGTTTCAAATTTCAAACAGTTTAATTGTTTCGAGCATTCTCTTTTTTTGCTTTTGACTTCAATTTCCAACATAGAATTAAAGGGTTTATTAGATATCGCCAATGGCTGCTGCATTAATCGTTTAACAGGCTGAGATTGTTGTCTTCTTCGTTGTTTCGTAAAATAAAAACCACATGCAAAAATTTTATTCTGAAAATAAATTTGACTATTATGTCTTCAAATCCAATTTCGAATACTAAAAGTCAGTTCAAAATATTAAAACAATAGATTCCAATTTGTATATTTTAATTGTTGAAAGTTTGGCTCCGACATTCCCGGGTTTCCTTTATACAGTAGTTTGAACGTTCATCCTGACAATTAATTAATTTCACAGCAGACATTATTTTCAGCCACTGGGTTGAAGTTGAAACCAGTGCAATATTTTGAGCACGTTTTAAAGCAAATTGAGAGCAGTAATTCAACTTAGCCGCTTATGACTGAAGACTTGAAGCTTGACATGGGATGGCAGAGAGATTGGTTCAATGGTTTGGCAATGGCGGTCTGTGTTTTTCTTGTGTTCCATGTTTTCATCATTTCGGCTTTCGAAAACAACACTTCGTGGTTGGTGGGGGAAGGTTTGGCAGGACCAATAAACATTAATTGCTTCAAAAGTTGTGTTCACATAAGAAAAGTGTTTTTGTTTTCTAATTTTTTTTTTTTTTTTAAATGAAGGTTAAAACTATTTATTTATTTATTTGAACTATATAGTAAAAGTAACATTTTAATCATGATAATAGCCCTATCAAATAAACATTAAATAATAAATATCAGTTCAAACTTTTTTTTTTTTTTAATAATCGGGGTTGTCCACGTAGTTTGCATGTACCTCAATTAATCCATTGATGTCTTAGAACTATCAGGTAAAAATCTCAATGACCACCTTTATTAGTGTTTAGAGAGACTAGAACTCAAGAACTCATAAAATTTCTTTTAGCTTTTTTACCATCGGACTATCTAGTGATGTTTAGTTCAAACAATTTCATTCTCAGTAGAAACAAAAATACAAAATTATTCTTCCGAAGTCAAATGCTTCTTATTTATCATCAATTTATGGCTTGACCATATGCATTAACTATGTGAAAACAATGCAGTCTTAGCCTCACTAATTAGACCAATTGGAAAAGTAAAATTCAACACAACTATCCTAAATATGATCCCAAATAGTAACTAGCTTTTAACATTCCATTATCCTCTCTACATTTAATTTATTTAATTTTGTCAAATTTCGTCCAATTCAACTAGATAAGATTAAGAGGGTTTTCATTGGGTTGGGAGTTGAAAGATCATACGGCCCATATGTTTGTGACTGAACCGACCCAATTCTTTGGTCGGCAGAATTTGTGACCATAATCAAAATGTGAGACTTCAACATAGCTTGTATAGTGATTGTACATTTGCTAAGAAATTCTTTTCTTGCCCAAATGTTAGGAAAGTTGAGCCTGACTGACAATTCTTCTCGGCAGTTGCTCTAAATCTAATAAATTAGATCTCTCAGGATTGGAATCATTGGAGTAAAAAAAGAATAGAATGAAGTCTGTCACCTCTTGGTCTCCATCATAAGGTCAGAGGTTAGTTTAAAATCTACGGACACTATATTCTAGGTATGATTTGAATGTAATCGGTGTCTGTGGTTGCAAACTTTAAGTTATCATTCGTATAAATTAAAGGAAAAATATGTAACCATCTGGTGTCGTGGTGTAGTTGGTTATCACGTCAGTCTAACACACTGAAGGTCTCCGGTTCGAGTCCGGGCGACGCCAATGCTTTTGGTCATTATTTTTTCATTTTGACAAGCCGGAGTAGCACATTCTTTGGATGTAAAACAAAGATCCAAAGTTGTATTATGTAATAATAAGAAAAAGTTGAACACTTTTTCGTCCCAAAAGAAAGTAATTAAGTAAAACCTTTCTATAAATTTCACATTATAATAAGTTATAATTTTTCCAGATCCTGTTTTAAAGAACTTGTCTCTACATAGTAATAATTATATGTATATTACAAAAAATATATACTATGTTACATGAAAAGTTTAAGATGAAATAAAATATTTATCTAAAGTTGTTTGAGATAATGATTTACGCTTTAGAGTTATTATCACATCTTTTATCTTGCGGGTACATAATAAGCTATCAACATGAACACCTTCTTGTTGAAGCCAAAATATTTTTAGCTCTCAAGCATGTTTAGAGTTTCTTAGCATAAATTTTTTGGTATTTCCGTACTATCATCCTCAAGATTATTTCCTTGATCTTCTTGTTTAATTCTAGTAATGATTTCTTTTTCAGTTAAAACATACATGACTAGTTGTTCATTTAGATTATTGAGGAAGATATTAATATCCATTTGATTAGTGTAGCGAAGTTGTTGAATCTGATAACTCAATTTTGCAGTGACTTTTTATATCAATTTTCGTGCTATCCTAATGCAACTAAAACAATAAATTAAAATCCTAATACTACTAAAACATGAATTATAAAATAAGAAATCAAAACAATAATTTTTATAACTACACCTCTGTTAAATTATAACATCCTTATAGTAATAAATTTAATTAGTCTCAATATTATGACTATAGAGAGGTTCTATTGTATAATTAAGATATAAATATAGCTAATACTGTGTATATATATATTCACTTTCCCGATCGCTACATCATTCCTAGGGGTGTTCAAAGAACTGGTTGGAACCGGAACCAGCGGGTACCCTGGGTTTGGTTCCGGTTTCTACACAGAACCAATCGTCAATGGGTAGGTTCCGGTTCCAAATTTTTGGAACCGTTACTGTGCGGTTCCGGTTTCTATAGTTAGGAACCGGAATTGAAACCGGAACTAGGAACCAAGAACCGAGACTAATATAAAATAAAATTAAAGATTAGGGGGGTTAATAAAAACTTTTGTAGAAAAAATAATGTGATTACATTTATATTTATATTTCATAACATTTAAAGTAAGTTAGTTTGACTTTTGAGAATCTATCTTTACAAAGTAATGGAGTTTG